TGGCTCCTGCACACTGGACGCGGAAACGCTTGCCGCGCGGCAAAATGCGACGCGGTAACCAATCAATTGCCCGCTTCTCCAGAAAAGCATATATATATCTTCTGCCGCGCGGAAAATATGCTACTTTTGCCGCGCGGCAATTATTTTGGCCAATCGGAAACAAGGGTACATGATCGAACAGAAAAATCGGCAAGCGTCCTCGGCAAAAATCATAACCTGTTTTCCAATCATCCAAGAAAAAACGTAAGACATTCTTAAATATAAGAATTAATTAAATAATGACTTATGTGATCTATTTATAATTATATATATTATTTTAGCTTCTATTTTTCCACCGATCACTCGTTGTATTTTAATATATAAGGCTAAGATGAGTGAAGAAAGGCGTCGAGTGTTACTTTTAGCCTTATTACATATAAGAAATCAAAGAAAAAGGCAAAATGTAAAAAAAAAACGAAATTATTGGGTACATCCAATACTCCAATGTAAACAACAGCAAGGGCATTGGCATAATTTAGTTCGTGAAATGATTCTGCAGAATGATGAGACATATTTTAATTATATGAGGATGACACCGGATATGTTTGAATATTTGTTATCAAAAGTAGGACCTTTGATAACAAAAATGGAAACAAATTTGAGAAAACCTATTCCACCAGATACGAGACTAGCAATGACTATACGGTATGAAAATTTATATTTGTAGTAGGAGTGTTTTTCTCTTTTATAAGTATTCAAAATTATTTTCAAACTAAATAAACAAATTAATTTTTCGTCTAATTATTAAATTGTTAATCAATTTAATTCGTGATAGTACTGCAGTAGTTTATTAGAGTTGTGTTTCAAGACCGACAATTGTTCAACGCGCAGGTTAGAAAGATATATATCGGTACATAAATTTACGCGAAATTATATATATAAGCAATTAAATTCCAGCTAGACTGTTATAGGCTTCGATTCGTATTAGTTATGTTGTTACATTAACGTTGTTACATTACTTTAAAAAATTTTTAATTAATTTTTATTTTTAGTTATTTGGCAAGTGGAGATGGACTTCATAGTATTTCACTTAATTATCGAATTGGAAGAAGTACTGCGACACTTATAATAAGAGAAACTTGCGAAGCTATATGGGATTGTCTTTCCCCAGAAATATTATTTACACCATCTGAGAATGGATGGCGGAAAATAGCCCTTGAATTTGAAAAAAGATGGAACTTTCCAAATTGTATTGGTGCTATAGACGGGAAGCATGTTGCTATAATAGTAAGATATTATATTAAAAGCAAGTATATGAAATTGTAATAACAAAATTAATTAATATTAAAATTATTTCCAGTGTCCTAAAAAAGCAGGAAGCACGTATTATAATTACAAACAATTTCACAGCATAGTTATATTAGCACTTGTAAGTGCCACATACAAATTTTTAATCGTCGATATTGGTGCTCAAGGTCGCCATAGTGATGGAGGAATCTTTAAAAATTCTGCTATGGGACAACGATTTTACAACAACGATATGTATTTGCCCGCTCCTTCTGCTATTAGTGCTAGACATCAAGTTCCATATGTTATTGTAGCTGATGAAGCATTCCAATTAAATTCATTTACCATGCGACCATATCCATCGAAAAATTTAACGTTTTGTCAACGAATTTTTAATTATCGATTAAGTAGATCTCGAATAGTGTCAGAAAATACATTTGCAATATGGGTCAATCGATGGCGTATTTTGCAGAGACCTTTAAGTACTTCTCTTGAAACAAGTGACGCAATAATTAAAGCAACCGTCTGTTTACATAATTTATTAATTAATACTTCGTATTATTGCGGAGACAATTATGCCGATAAGGTATCTGCAAATGGCCAAATAATGGAAGGAGAATGGAGATCAACATATAGAAACACAGATAATTATAGCAATATTAGTCATTGCAGTAATAATTATAGTAAACATGCTGGTGAAATTAGAAATACCTTTATGGATTATTTTATGAACGAAGGTAAAGTACCCTGGCAAGAGCAAAGTATACAAAGAAATTTATTGTAAAAATTTGTATTTTTCTTTGTATATAAAAAATTGACATTAAGATTTGGTTAAGATTACATTTAGATTAACAAAAAGAAATAAAAATTAGGTAAAATACGAGTAATAATTTTTCTCAGTTCTTATATTAAAACTAGTTCATTATTAAACGAAAGAGTTAACACTAGTTTTCATTAGTTAAACAAGTGATTAGTAATAGAAACTTAATTTATTCTTTTTCAGCTATAAACATTTTGAACATACATGAAAAACAGAAAATATATTTACTTTATTTTGTGATACATTTGTATAATTATACTTTGTTATGTATCTTGTTATATTAACGCTAGATATTAAGTACAAAACAGCTTATGCATGATAGTGTAAACATATTGCACAACATAACTTATTCATTTCATGATACTTAACAAATACATGCACATATAAGCTAAAGAAACTATAAAATTTAAAAGAAATTATAAAATTTAAAACAGAAACAATAGCACATAAAATGAGTTATGGAATATTGTAAAAGATGGTGGCTTCTTTTTGACTACTTTTAAAATATTTTTTTAATTATTTCAAGATATTTGCCACATAACAAATTATCACCTTTTATACGATATTAAATTTATTTTAAATATCTGCCTCTGCAATAAGTTTCAATATTTGTTTCGTAATATGTTTGGAATTATCTGTAGTCATATTTCGAAGACATGCTTCAAGATACTTAGTAAAAGATTCGATTTCATCAGGCTTAGATTGATTTGTTGGTCTCGTTCGTTCTAATTCTTTTAAAATAGCTTTTTCGCAATAAGAATTCGTATCTTCTTTTTCAACTGTTGTTACTTTTCCTGTAAAAAGAGAAAATAAACATATTTTTTATTATAAATGTTACATTTACTATAAAATAAATGTTTCTTATTTATATCAACAAATACATTTCAGATAGAGGTAAGTGAAATAACACCCTTACAACAGATTCTACATTGCATGTTTCAAAAAATTTTTACAATTTCTTATAAAATAAAAATACATTTTGTATATACGTACGATGTTTCTTTCTATTCGTTGACTGTAAGTCAGAGTCAGAATTGTCTGTATCTCGTGTTTTGTTAAGTACGGCTGTAAAAAAATTAAATATAGAATTAAAACAATAAAATAAAGGAATATTTAAATAGTTATATATATTTATAGTTTATACTTGCAATAACTTTTCTCTGAATTTAACTGCGACTTTAGTAAAGTTCTTTTTTTTGATAATTGTAGTTGATATGAATTATCATCTTGTCTTGTACAACTTGCTGTAGGAATAGACGAAGAAATAGGTTGTTCCACTGAGGATGATGAGGGAACCACATTTTCAATATTGCTTTTAGTTCTAAATATAATAAATTTAGTTCTAAATATAATATTTAATTAAACTATATTATTTTGTTACATACATCATGCACTAACACGTTACAAGTAACGCGTTACTTGCCAATCCTCAGTGTGTTTATTCAAAATTATATAGTACTTACTTCCGATAATTTACTGTTGGTTCTAGGAAACGTAAACATTCGTAAAAGGGCCAGGTACTTTCCTTTTTTTTAGCTGCACTGCCACTTGGAATATAAGTATTAACCAAAGTATGTTCTTTTACGAAACGATCTCTTATATTCTTCCATTTTGTCTGGCTTGTACCAGGAACTGTGCCTATATATTATTATCTATATATGTATATACAGGTATACACATATATGCATTTATAATTATGATAACTTATTAAAGAGATATATTTCTTTCATAAATTTAAAAAAATATTCCTTTTATTAACAAAATTTATTTCAGAATTGTTATTATTAGTATATATTTGTAATCATGCATTAATTGTTACCTAAACGACGATCTATATCTGCCCACAATGCTTTTATATCGGATGGTCCTCTAAATCTATAAGGAAGTCTTGAATTCCATAAAGGTTCATTTTCAAATACAGCAGAAATTAAGCTTTCCAAATAATCATTTTTACTGTCTGCATAATTATCACAAATATTACTATCTAAAGTAGAACAGATATGTTCTTCCGTAATGTGAAACATATTATTGCAATCCTTGCACCACTAAAAATAAAAATATTAGATATATCTAAAGTAACACAAAATGTGTGGGGGCGTATACATGGTATCTGGATGCTACAGGATTAATCTTCATAAATAGGTAGAGCAGACTAAACTGAGTCGAAAAGTTCTTTACCATTTTGCAGATGCAGTAATAGTTAACAAAATATTAATCATTAAAGATAGCCGAATAAATGCGTTTGCCTGGCCTACTACTGCCAAGTATATACGCCGTCCAAGGAGGCTCGCGGCGGGGGCACTTGTCAAGCAGTCCCCGCTCCCAATGATCCACGCGCCAAGCGATCGGTAGGCGTATTTACTTGATAGTAGTAGGTCGGGCGAACGCGTTTATTGCGCGCTATCTTTAACGATTAATATCTCATTAACTATTACTGCAACTGCAAAATGGTTCAAAACTTTTCAATTCAGTTTAAGTCCGCTCTACCTGGGCTGCGTTCGGAAATATCAATCGAATATCCCTGCGTGTCTTATCCTTGTTTAATATTGAATAAACAACAAGGATACTCGGAAAAATCTGGGTGATATTTTCGAATGCAGCCCTGTTTATGAAGGTTGATCCCGTAGCATTCAGACATCCTGTATATGTACAATAAATTAATTTTAGAATTAATTTGTTGTATCACATATAATTATAATAGAAGTATTAATATATGGCCTCTTCCTAATTACTTACGATTTGATAAGATTCTTCTTCCTGGTTTTTTTCCATTGCGCTTTTTGCTTATTTGTTCTATATGAAATAAAAACACAGTATCCGAAAAATCAAAATTTTGGATTCAGTAATGATCGCACGAATTTAGGAAAGGTATTTAAATTATTTCCACCGGATGGTGGATGAACGCCTTCATCAACTTCTCTTTGAGATTTATATGATGATTAAATGATCTTAACCTATAATTATCATATATTTTAAAATTAATCATATACGTTTGACTAAATAATATTTTTTTACTTACTGAAAGGTTAGATATCTGATCTTTAAACAAGATCGTTTATAAATACAGGCAGGCGAACAGGTCAAAAACGATACAAAAATGGTTTCTATACACAAGGCATGGCATGTTTGCCGCGCGGTAAAAGTAGAACTCGATTCAACTTTTGCCGCACGGAAGATGTTTCTTCCAGATGCTTTTTGATCGATTTTAGAACGCGCAAATACATGTCGTGCGACAAGACTGCTGTTGTCCTGCCGAGACGATTATTGGTTAAAATTATTTGCGCAGGCGTACACAAAATCACCGCTTGCCGTGTGAATATGTGTGAAGGCGGAAAAATTACATTGTTGCCGCGCGGCAAAATTTGCCGAAAGTGACTATAATTGTCAACTGGATTATAGTGAAGAAAAAACTTGGCGTGCCCGGGTCGCATTAAAACGCAATATTCTAGAACCTTGGTTCTATCGCAATATTCTGCAGTATACACAATATATGCGAAAACAATTCAACAAAGAAAAGATGTTAATAATTGCTTACTGAACATATTATAATACTTAGTTGTGAATATATTTTCATGTCCCACAAATTATATCACTATATAGTGAATGATGATACTAATTATATCATTATATTGTACGTGTATATTATACGTATATATCTGTATACATACATATGTCTGTTATTTTTATATTTTAATTTATAATGCAAATACTATGTTGAAATAATGTTTTCACTGAATACTGTTTACAATTAATGCTACCCGGGCACGCCAAGTTTTTTCTTCACTATAATCCAGTTGACAATTATAGTCACTTTCGGTCTGTCTTATGTGACTGGCGTAATGAAGAATACACTTGGTCAATTATATTTATCTCATATCTGTTTTTGATCAAGAAGTTCAGTATCTTTTATATGCACGTGGCGTATGTTTTTTTCTTTTTTTAAAAAAAGGTCGAAATATTCAGATATAATATCAAATTCTTTCTGGAAATTACACCAAGCATCTGATCCAAACGATAGTCCCGTAAAATCTTTCCCAATTAGCCTCACTACAGGATATAAACTGCTATCCGTCTGTTCCGCAAATCCAATAAAAACTTTCTTACCAAAAGAAAGATTTAATTTGTATATTGTGGGTAAAAGACGTTGTTTTCCAAAAAATTTGCATGTTCCAGTTGTCTCACAAAAATCTGAATTATCATTATTATTCATTTTCCTCTTTGCCATGTTCACTGTTAGTATATAGACACAGCACGTTACAGTTTGTACTTTAAAAATTAACTTTTATCTCACACTGTGTTTTAAAAGTACGACGTTACGTTAATGACAATCTAACGAAAATTGACGTTGTCAAGTCTTATAATTGTAGAGGAATCATCCAACGACGATCATACTAAGGATTATGGCGTTTTACTCATAAATCTTAGTATCGGAAGTAGCGGTAATAATCATACGCGTAAAGGAGGCACGGCAGTGTCACTGCGTGCTTAGCGCCGAGACACTACCGTGTCTCCAGAAACTTGATTTTATGGGGATTTGGTTTTATAGGGAATCATATATATTACTTGTTTCTTCACGCAAACTTTAAAAGATAATGTTTTACAAACGTCAGCTAGTTTTATACGTGTTAGATGATGATGAACCTACAGCTGTAAGCCTGGAGATAAAATACGTATCCATTGCATTACTGCGTCATGAAATGTAGATACATACTCTGCTTATCACATGTATGTTGATGCGAAATTCATTCGTAAAAGTCTCCTTAAAGTAGACGTAATGCTTTACGAGGATTTATAGACGATATTTAAATCTAAAATGTATTAACTATTATTATAATCTTTAATATGATGTGAAATATTGATTTACGTATTTATTTTATTATATCATTTCATTATATCGTAAAATAAATGTATAAACGTGTAACGATCAAGCGACGCGGTAGCGTCGCGACGCCAAGTGCATAAAA